GGGGTGCTTTTCTTCAAAAAGACTTTCTTCAACACACCGAGTAACCAGGCAGTGTGACCGAAAACCTTAGAACTGGACCCAGACCACAGAGATGGGGAATTCTTTTGTTACTATTATTACTGGTTTTAATTTTTTCAAATTAGGTTCCGTACCCATACACAGTGGTTACGGTGCCAGCCACAGACACCAAGGCTGGTGAGTTCAAACCTGGCCCGGGCCAGCTAAACAACCATGACAACCACAACAAAAAATAGCTGGGCATTGTGGTGGGCACCTGTAGTCCCAGCTACTGGGAGGCTGAGGCAAAGGAATCGCTTGAGCCCAGGAGTTTGAGGTTGCTGTGAGCTGTGACGCCATGGCACTCTACCAAGTGTGACACAGTAAGACTGTCTCAAAAAAATTTTTTTTCAAATTAATATGAGGGTACAATTTTTAGGTTACATTGTTCTCACTTCCAGGATAAAGTTACATTTGTAGAAGAGCCCCTCACCCGGGGGGCATTTTATACACCCTCACATTAGGTGATATCCCACCTCATGCCTGCCCTCCTTCTGCCTACGTCCTGCCCTTCCTCCCACTTCCCTCTACCCCCCAAACTAGACTATATTAGTGTTTTATTGTTCTTATGAACATGTAATTGTTTATATATTGATTTCATATTAGTATGGAGTCCATTGGGTATTTGTTTTTCCATTCTTGTGATACTTTACTAAGAGGAATGTGTTTCAACTCCATCCAGGTAAAGGTTAAAGCTGTAAAGTCTCCATCTTTTTAATGGCTGAATAGTATTCCATGGTGTACATATACCCTAGTTTATGGATCCATCCATGGGTTGATCTAGGCTGCTTCCACGACATGGAAATTATGAATTGAGCTGCATTCTGATTCAAATGTGCTAAAATGATTTTTGTTCTGGGTAGATCCCCAATAGTGGGATTGCAGGATCAAATGGAATGTCTACTTTTAGATCTTTGAGGACTCTCCATACTTCAGAGATCAGAAAGTCTTAAGTTTTCATTTAAAAATGGGGGCTCGGCGCCTATAGCTCAACCGGCTAAGGCGCCAGCCACGTACACTGAAGGTGGAGGGTTTGAATCCAGCCCAGTCCCGCCAAACAACAATGATGGCTGCAACCAAAAAATATCCGGGCGTTGTGGTGGGCGCCTGTGGTCCCAGCTACTTGGGAGGCAGAGGCAGGAGACTCGCTTGAGCCCAGGAGTTGGAGGTTGCTGTGAGCTGTAATGCCACGGCACTCTACCCAGGGGGACAGCTTGAGGCTCTGTCTCAAAAAAAAAAAAAATGGGGAAACTGGCCTCCATGGAGATGCCTGAGTCAGTATCAGATTTGAAATACTTAAAGCAGAAACAAAACTGTTTAATCGAGGCAGCGAGTTAAGTGCGTAGTTATGGGCGATGACGCTGTTGATAAAGCGTCTCTCCTAACATCCTCCTCAACGACAACAAAGTTTCCTTCCAAATATGCCCCGACTGTTTTTGACAAGTCTGCAGTCACCGTTACGATTGGTGGAGAGCCACAGACTCTTGGGCTTTGTGACACTACAGGGCAAGAGGATCACGACAGATTACAATCACTGGGTTATCCATACACAGATGTGGCTCTAATCTTTTTATTTCCCAAAACTCATGGGGATATTTATTTTTAGTTTTGGATTAATATAAAGGTATATGGGATTAGGTTACATTGTGTGTGTTTGCTAGGCTAAGTCCACGTTCCTTACTAAAGTATCTTAAGAACGGAAAGACACCATCCCATGGACTCAACACTGATTTGAAACTAGTAGATGGTCAACTACAGGGCGTGCATTTTATTCTGACAGCTGTGATAGGCATGGAGAGTACTGAAATGAATAGTGAAACATTTCAGTGTTGGCTATGAGAAAAATCACTCTGAATGCAGGAGGACACACGGAAACAGCCCAGCTGGCTGGAAGAGAGTTGTCACGATCTAGGGGAGGAAACAGGATGACCCAGAATAGGAAGGGACAGTTTGATGTGGAGGAGAGAGAAGGAATGTGCTTGGTGACTAATTGGATATGCAGGGAGGGGGGAGGAGGGGGAGGAGGTCGGGATGGCCCAGATTCCTGGGATTTTAATGAGGGAATGGTGCCATCCATCCCTCGAGGCAGGGGTTAGAAAGAAGAATGTTATGGGCTGAATTACATCCCTCCCAATTCATATGTTGAAATCTTAATCCCCAATACCTCATAATGTGACTGCATTTGGAAATGGGGCCTTTGTAGCAGTGATCAAGTTCAAGTGAGGTCATTCTAGTGGTCCCTCATCTAATCTGGTGTCCTTATAAGAAGGGCAAGTGTGGACACAGAGGTTGGCACGGAGCAGAGATGATATGGAGACACAGGGAGCAGATGGCCAGGTACAAGCAAAGGAGAGATGCCCGGGACAGACCCTTTCCACACCCTCACTTGGGACTTTGAGCCTTCAGAACAGCGAGAAAAGAAATTTCTGATATTTAAGCCACATTGTCTTAGAACTTTGTTACAGAAGCTCCTAGAAAACCAATACAAAGAGTGACCATCTGGAGAGGCCCCTGACTTATGCTTGGGATCAGCCGAGTTTGATGTGTTGCTTTGGGACAGGCAGGTGGAGACAAGCACCAAAGTGGTGGCTAGAGACGCGAGTCCAGGACACACTGGGCAGCTTGGGACTAGTGATTAACACATGCTCATCGTCCCTGACACTCTGGCATCTATAAAACAGCAGGACTAGTACATAATGGAAATTTGAAAAATAGTTGACAGAGTAAATGTCATGTTTGCCTAAGGACAGAGGACAGAATGGAACTACAAGGACATTGGAACTAATTCTAATTTCCTGTCCCAGTACTCAGAAGGGTCGATGGAGCCCTACAGACACAGAGATGTAATGATGGCTTATCTGAAGCCACTGGATTTTAGAGAATTGCTCCATTGGTTGGCGATTATTTTCACTCACTAGGAAGAATAGTTCCCTCTTTGTTCCATAAAATCTAAATGTGGGAGAAAAAAATTAAACATCCAAGCTATTCTAATAACAGAGAATTATAGCCTGTCAAGAGTTTTAAGTTCATGTCCACGTTTTGGAAGGTTGACCTTCAAGGGAGCATGTCAGTAGCATGTCTATTTCAGGTAGGAGCTTTAAAGTCTTCTTAGCTTTAAATGTCAAAATAAATAAGCAGCATGACATAAGAGAAAATGGCAATAACTGGAAGCCAGGAGACATTACTTTGAATTCTAGAACTGCCTCTGAAAAACCAGGTGACCTTAACCTTTCTGGGTCTCCTTTCCCTCATCTCTAAACAATAATGGGGAAGGGGTAATTGGACGATCTTCCAGCTCTGACATTCTCTCAACGTTGCCTTTAATTGCCACTGGTGATAAGATAACATTTCTGTAAATTGACCTGCCACCCTGATTTAGTCCGCCAGCATGAAAGCATGAAAAAGATGATGGGCAGAAATTAAAATATCGCAGATGATTTTGGTAGACTAATTTCCCTCTTTAAAAGTGGCAGATGGGACACTGGAAGGAGACAAGACGTGGTTTTAGAATGCATCTTCATTACCAGCAAACTGGGTTTTACTGGAAGGTTGAACTCGTGTGATCACAGTGTTTTGTCCGATGAGTTAAACTGTGCCACCACATTGAAGGCGGCTAGAGAAGATCACCCACTCCTGCATTTGTGATTCCCCCTGGACGATTTAATATTTAAAACCCATGTTGACCTTTTCTTTGTATGTCTGCACATCTCAGCCCTAAATATAAGCAGCTCCTAAGGGGATGGGAGATAATTAGGATTTATTGAGTATCTATTTAGTGTCACATTTTGTCCCGGGTCCATAATACCTCCCTGAACACTTCCCTGGAGCAGATGCTGTCAGCTGCACCATAGCTTCTTTGCACTCAACTCAACCTGCTGAAGGTTGCTTACTAAGGGCTCTGTGTGGCCATGGGAGGACGTGTTGCCCATGAGAACAAGCCAGATGGGCACAGGAATTCCTACTGCAGCATCAGCACTCACCAGTATCAGATGGAAATTGGTTGACTGAATACGCCAACTTCTTCATCTGTTGGTTAGGATAACTCAGAGGCATATGATACCCTTGATTATGGAGTTTCCCAAAGAGGCTGAACTCCAACTGCTAGATATTGGGCTGATACACTTTTTACTGGGTGTCTTCTTTTTCTGTCCTTTTTTTTTTTTTTTTAAATCTGAAACCAGGTCTTGTTCTGTTGTCTGGGCCAGAGTGCCATAGCATCATCATAGCTCACAGCAACCTCAAACTCAAGGTCAAGTGATCCTCCTGCCTCAACCTCCCAAGTAGCTGAGACTGTAGGCATACCTGACTTATACAATTTTGTTCTGTTTTATTGTTTTTTTGTATAGCTGGGGTCTTGCTATATTGCTCAGGTTGGTCTCAAACTTTTAGCCTCAATAATCCTCTCTCCTCAACCTTTCAAAGTGCTAGAATTATAGGAGTGAACTACTTGGCCTTTTTCTGTCTTAATGCAATGATATTTCCTGAGATCATCTCCCAAATAAATTACTTAGATTCAAATTCTTATCTCAAGGTCCTCATCTAAACTAAGACATCCTCCAAGATCCTTATGGAGTAGGTAACATTATTGCCAGTTTATAATTCTGTGTGGTTAAATAATAGTTAAGTCTTGGTGCTGGGGTTGGTGACTTCCAGTCCCTTTTACCTAGACCAGTGGTTCTCATCCAAGGGAGATTTTGTTTTCTGGGGGTCATTTTTGACCTGCAGGATGCATTTTTGGTCGTCACACTGCAGGGTGGTATCTAGTAGGTAGAGACCAGAAGGGCTGGTAATGTCTTACAATGCACCGCTCAGCCCTCTACAACAAAGACACATCCAACCCAACCTATTCAGTGGAGCCAGCTGAGCAATCCTCTCCACACCCAGCAAGACCGGTTGTTGAAGGGTGGCTCCCATTGTGACTGGTCATTGTCTTTCACGTCCAGGGCCAAGCTGTGGCTCAACTGTGTTCTACTGTCCCCAACGTGACTGTCTTCGGAACAGCTTCCACTTTCAAGCATGAAGCTATCAAAGACTCCGTGACCCACCTCTTCGACAGAAACGCAGACTACGTGCAAGAAGTGAAAAGGTGAGTCATCTGCTCTGCAGAGCACCAGGCTGGCCCCTTGCTTTTCTCTCAAAGAACAGGAGCAGTCCTTCAGAGCAGGGATAATGATAATAACAGCCATAGTAATGAGAGCAAAGATATATAGGGGGGCTTAGCATTACCAGCTTTCATGGTGACCGCTTCCCATGTATTTGCTCATTTAATCCTCTTAACATCTCTATTATTATCATAGAGTAACATGCAAAGCAATCGCTTCTTGGCCTTTTGGCTAAGATCAAGGGTGGAGTAATGTGCAAAGCTAATGTTTTTTTTTTTTTTTTTTTGAGACAGAGCCTCAAGCTGTCCCCCTGGGTAGAGTGCCGTGGCATTACAGCTCACAGCAACCTCCAACTCCTGGGCTCAAGCGAGTCTCCTGCCTCCGCCTCCCAAGTAGCTGGGACCACAGGCGCCCGCCACAACGCCCGGCTATTTTTTGGTTGCAGCCGTCATTGTTGTTTGGCGGGTCCAGGCTGGGGATTCGAACCCACCACCTTAGGTGTACGTGGCTGGCGCCTTAGCCAGTTGAGCTATAGGCGCTGAGCCCAAAGCTAATGTATTAAAGTTACGCTGGTTGCTGTTAGACTGTCTGAAGCCAGAGAAGTTTAGTTCTCACCCATTCCCCGTGACAGCCCAGGGTGGATGTTTGGAGCATGGGCTTGCATAAGGACATTCGAGGCCTTTGCGTCTTGTGCCTCCACCCTTGTCCTGAGTCTTATGGTCTTTTGCTTCTGGCTGGCAGATAGGGAGAGAGCACGGGAGGGTCAGGAATCAGGGGCTGTTCTTGGGGCAGTCCCAGAAGGAACAGCCACCTGCTTGTATTCTAGGGCTAGTAGTTGGGTCCTTGGCCATGTCTTCCTGGAAGTGAACTGGGAGATGTTGTCAAGCAGGGCACCCAGGTGGGCATGGCACAGGTAGGAAAGGTGTCCAACCAGGCATTCTGAATTTGGAGCCCACGCCGTTGCTATACAGACAGTGCCTCTCTAAAGAGTGAAGTGTGAGCCAAGGTTCCCTGAGGGAGAAGCGACTGGAAGGGGGGTGCTCAAGGAAGGGAATGTCAAGTGCACAGGTACTGAGGAGCCTCAGATGGTGAGAGAACGACCAGAAAGCTCAACAGGGCCCAAGTCCAGGGGCATCTGGCTATCTGCTCTAAGTACAGACATTGGGACAGAGGCATCTGGGGCAGGGAGGGAAAGGGGCATGAGGCATGAGATAAAGCTGGGCAGGAGACGGGGCTCAGATAGAGTCACATGGAGACCCCATATACCCAGCTAAGAAACGTGGATGCCAATCTGGATGTGGCCGAGAGCCACCAAAGGATCAAAGTGGTGGCTGTGGGTTTTGAACAATCACTGGTGGTGTGGAGAGAGTGGAAGGAGAGGCAAGAACCGGGAGGCCAGTTGCTAGCTGCTGCAACCACCTGGAAAATGCTGGTTTATAATCTGTGACCTTGCAGCTGTTGATCATGGCCGTGTTCATGTCAATACAGGAGTCAGGTGGCAAGTCCAGCCGCCAGCAGGGCTCCAGATGATTTGAGGGTCTGACCCAGCTGCTGCTCGGGGCTCCAGGCTTGTCCTTGGGGTGCACTACGCTCAGTGTTCCTGGGGAGACACAGAGGTGACTCAGCGCCACTGTTCCCACATTTTCATTTTCCAGAGCTGAATTGTGAAGTGCAAAGCTATTCAGTTGCCCGGAGGCATCGTAATAAAGAAACAGTTTTCTCCCAGTCACAAATGAAGATGGAGAATGGAAAGATAACTGAGTGGCAGGGCTGATTTTGAGGCAACAGCTTCAGAGCAGATTGGGTGAAACCTGTCAAATTTCTTGGAAAGAAGAATCTTCTGGTGGTCTGAGTTTTCACATTCGTTTCAAAACTGCGAATGTGCAGATTCGCATATATTTTAAGTTGTCCCAATAGAGAACAGAGGTTCCCCCTGTTTCTTCTCAGATGCAGGCTGATTTTGAAGCCACCCAGTTCCATGCCTCTCAGGTAGTTCTTCCTGCTTTTAACTCAAATCTCTCCATCTGTGGTCTGGAAAATGCACTACCATTATGTCTTCAGTAATTCTTCCTTTCACCCCCTCAGGGGCTATTTTCGCAAATGTCCTTTCATTCATTCACTACCCACCTGCTGGATAAACACATGCTGAGTGTGCAGGGCTGGGGACTGTGCAGGGGATGGGGGGATCTGGCCATGGGGACCCCTGAGAGTCCCTGTCCTCATAGAGCTTCGAGTCTAATTGGAGGAGAGGAGACAAAAATAAAACTGTAACAAGAATTCACTAAGGGGCGGCACCTGTGGCTCAGTAAGTAGGGCACCGGCCCCATATGCCGATGGCGGCCCCAGCCAAATTACAACAACACATATCCGGGTGTTGTGGCGGGCACCTGTAATCCCAGCTACTGGAGAGGCTGAGGCAAGAGAATCGCCTAAACCCAGAAGTTGGAGGTTGCTGTGTGACGCCACACCACTCTACCCAGGGCAATAAAGTGAGACTCTGTCTCTCCAAAAAAAAAAAAAAAAAGGAATTCACTAACTCACACTTTTGGTGGCAAAATGCAAGGTAAATGTTTGCCAGTGGGGAAATCAGCAATGTGGTGAATAACAGAGTAGGATTTTGAGAGTTGAGGGATAAGACGTGGCCGGGGGAGGAGCATTTCCGAGTAGGGAGAATGCATGTTCTCAGGTTCCAGGGCAGGAAAAGCTCGGAAAAGTGGAGAATAGAAAAGAGACCAGGGCAGCTGGAAGTAGAAGGATGTGGGGGGTGGAAAGAGAAAGGAATCAGGAGATGGCAGCTTTTCTGAAAAAAAAAAAAAAAAAAAAAAGAGGACCCATCACCAGGGAGCTCCTTCTGCCCTCTTTCCCGGGCAGCCACCCCGTCCCCTCATCGCCTCCCTGTCCTGAGCCTGCGATTTCTGCCCCATGTCATAAGAGAATAAGACGCCAGCCTCTGAGACCCACCTCACCACCACCTGCCTTCAGCAGTTCTTCCAACGGCTGCCGTGCTCTTAAGCAGGAATGACAATAAAGATGACGGGAAGATGCAGATGTGTTCACACCTATGTCCCAGCCATCCGACCCCTGGGAAATAATTCAGCAGAAGAGAAAAGCTACAGTACAAAGCTTCCCACTGCACAGTCAACTGCTGCTTCCCCCTCCCTGTAAGGGCTCTCGGCGGCATCGTGATTTACAGTGTCCTCTGCAACGGGGGAAATTCAGAATTGGCCTCCACCAGCAACAGAAGGGAGACAGTTCAGTTAGATTATGCGACACCCACACACTTGAGTGTTGTGTAGCCCTTTAAAAAAAAATAAAAGATAATTATGAAGGCTCTGTCACAAAATGAAAAAGTGCCCACGGTAGCATATTGCGTGAGAAAAGACGGATGCCAAATTCCATCTACACTGTGATTGCAGCTTTGTACAAATTCTTGGCGCCTAGAGATATAAACGGACAGGGAGGGGAAAGTAGCTGGCCGCTAACATGCAACAGGAGGGTGAGCGGCTTTGATTTTTGATCCAGATATTGTTACCCTATTATGTGGACAATGAGCTAAAAAACAAATAAGATTTCTTGAGATGAAAACTCTCTTATAAACCAGTCCGTCAGTAAGCCTCTTTTGAACGCATGCTTGGTCTTGAGCCAGGTGTTATAAAGGGAATAGAGACTATGTATATATATGGGTGATACAGACCTAACCTTTACATCAGTTACCTCCTCTCCGCCGGGGAGGAGAGAGAGGACTACTAGAGAAAACAAGTCAAAGAACTAGAAACTTTGAATCGTGTGCACTTGACTGTCAGGCCTTTAGAAAAAGAGAAAAGAGAAAGATCAGAGACAGCGTGTCAAAGGGGACAGCCCCTCAGGTGGCTCTTGAAGGATGAGAATGATTTCTGTTATCCAGAGAGGTGGAAGAGAGTACCAGACAGTGGGGAGTCTTGGCCAGAGTGAGATGGGTAACAGGAGCCAAGCTTCGTCAGCCTCCTGCCACCTGCTAAGAGTTCCATTAGACCATTTTACGTGTGCTTCGAACAATACTGCAAGTATTGATAAAGCAACTGAAACTTAGGTCCAGATTTGGCCTCAGAGTTGTGTGATTCTATCAACTTTCTAGTCTGCAAAACTCCCTTGGGGTGTTAAATACGGAAGGTGACAAACAGAATGGCTGGGTGGGTGCCATCATCAAGTTGACAAACTGTTACATTAAATCACTGCAAATCCAAGTTAATGATGCCACAAATGGACAACAGAGATGCGGTGGAAAGTGCAACCAGTGTATTAGTAGAGAAAGTGTCTGATTTAGTAGAGAAAGTTCAATTGCAAGACTTATTAGGGTTGGCAACTGGTAGGGAAGTACAGAGACTGGGGAGCACAGCTGAGCACCGTTTAAATGGAAGCCCAGAGTATATGCAGAAACTTCCCACTTTCAGGCCGTGCACATGTTATGAAGTAACATAGATACTGCCTTTATTTTTCAGAGGTGGGAGGCCAGGTGCAGCTTGGTTACATAAGTGTCACACAGATACATGTGGCAGGACTCAGCCCCAGAGTTGGGGGTCTTTCTCACACCCACTCTCATGAGGGCAGTGGGGGTGGCTTCCCCAGGCCAGGGAGGAAGTCAGCCTGCCCATATCAAAGCACGTGACAGTGTCAGATGCTGGGATGGTAGCAAAGGGCTAGAGCAGAGCTTCTCCACCTCAGCGTTTTGGGGGGATCATTCTGTTGTGAGGCGCTGTCCTGTGGGATGTTTAGCAGCACCCCTGGTCTCTGCCTATAGGATGCCAGTGGTACCTTGTGTCCCCCAAGTCAGGACAATATAATATGGCCCAGTTAAGAACCACTGGGCTAGGCTGATGAGGCTCTTGGAAGCCCTTAAATGGAGTTAAAACTGGGTTATGTCAGAAATGTAGATTCCTTTGTGGATTTGAAGCAAGTAAGAGCTGTTAGGAAAGGTGAATTTGTGAGCCCCTGACCTGGCTGCAGT